TGCATGCAGGCAACATTTGAGAGAGGACAAAAGAGATGTGTGTTTGTTTCCCGTATAAATAAAAAATATACTCGAAAAGCCACGACTTTGCATCTTTGTCATGCAAAATGGGCGTAATAACGTTGAATCCCTCCCCCACGCGATGATCATTTGATTTCAAATCCTTTTTCGCAAACAGAGAAGGTATTATAGGTTTTTCTCTTTCATATCAATTTGTTTCAATCTTACCGTGTCTTCGCAGTGGCGCAGTACTGTCAGAGTAGAATTTGTCTTGCTCAGGAACATAGTAAATTTGCTAAGGGATGGAGTAAGTTTCTTAAAAATAAACTTTAGTTGTGAACACTTTGACGGTCGCTGTCACGTATATATAACTTCATTCCGCCAATATGGCTCTTTACAAAGAAATATCCCTTTATAAAGAAATATTTCTCGATAATTTGTAATTAATAATTTGTAATTAATAATAGTACAGGAGCTTGTTTACGATTATTGTATAGTACAATTTGCAGTGTAAACGCGATACAAATACCGCAGTAATTTTGTAAATTTGCGCAATTGTTTGCTCACAATTGCAACGATATGGAAGTTACATCAAGCAAAATGTACAGACTTATATGCAAGGATTTATGTCTGTCTCTTTAAATATCATCGAGAAACGAGATATCTCGAAATTTGCCAGCGGTAGTTTGAAATTTCTCCGAAACAAGCGCGGCTGTCAAAGGGTTCAAATATAAATAGCACATACGAAACGCTGAGAGATAATAAATTAGAGTGGAAGTCGGGGCGTGTGCCTCGCTTGCTAAATTCCGTAATACTCTCTCAATTTCTTGCAGTGAAATTTCACTCAAAAAAGGCCACCGAGAGCCATACTCGAATTTGAATGATTTTTCACTCGTACGAAGAGAAGCCTTCATTCTGAATCGTCTGAATACTCAAAGTCGAAATCGAATGAAACATTGACTCTTGCGACTTCGAGTGGCGATATCTCCGCCATCGTTTGGAGCGCAAATACCGCCACTTTTCCTCTATCTGAATTCAGTGAAATTCCGCTTTAAGAAATCGAGGGAGTGACTATTTGCTACAAAATTACCTCCACGCGTACGGGAGAACAATGTTGCGCAATGTGGGCGCGCGCGTGCTGCAAAATTTTCAAGACGCTGCAGAAGCGCGTCTCCTGCGTCGACTTTTCCGCGCCGTCGACAATTAATCGCGCACGTTTCTTACCGCTTCGCGTTCGTGACAGAGAGACGTGAAGAAGAATCGCCGAGAATCGTCGTGCGACAGCGAGAGACGGGAGAACAGGAGGAAAACCGCCCCTACGGGGGGAGAAACATCCTGTACAACGCGGAGATACACACGCAGCTGCCGCAGGCAGTCGTACATAACCGCGCAATGTACAGTCGCGGACGTCGTAGAGAGCAGTGCCGTCTAGCGGATCGCGCGCGTACTAGCCCGGTGCAGTCACCACCTGGCCGAAAAGCACCGTGCGTCACCCTCCGAAATTTCTCCGTTTCCCGTACGCGGTGGATCCGCGCGTACACCAGCGCCGCAGCGAGCACGAGCCGACGCGTGAGCACCAGGTAACCGCGAGCCCCGACCGATCCACGTCGCCGTGTTCGACAGCACGATTTCGCGAGCGCGTATTACCCGGGAAACCCGGCGAAAAAGGCTGAGCCGCGGCCCCACCTGCGATTCGTGTCGCTCTTCCGACCGCCTCGGAGGCTGCTTCTCGGCGACCTCGGCGAGTCCTCCGCCGTGGCAGGTGCGTGGAAGGTGCGCGGCGACATCGCGGAACGTTCCCCGACGTCGTGGAGCGACGTAGCCAGGCAGCTCCGCAGGGTCGGGAATGTGGGAGCTAGCGGGAGGAAGGGGTCGATAACATCGCGCGCCCGCGCAATTCTTGCTGGTCTCCTTGGTGGAGGACGGGCGAGAGGAAGCAGCGTGGTTGAGGGTAGAAAGAGCCGACAGGAAAGAAGTCGTGGTATTTTCTCATTATTTCGCCGAGGCCGGGTCGAAAAAAGGGTGGTGTGCGTGGTGCACAAGGAGGTGGTGCGTGTGGTGACGGAGGAAGCACCGGAGAAAATTCGACGAGCCGCGCGAACTCCACGCGAATCTACGCGAGCTGCGGAGGCTCTCTCTCTCTCCCTCTCTCTCTCTCTCTCTCTCTCTCTCTCTCTCTCTCTCTCTCTCTCGTCGTCGACGACGACGATCGTCGCCAAGGTCGAACCATTCCCGTCGACGGGGCCAGCAGCAGGGGCGTACCGACCGACCCGGGCTGAATTTTTCGCGATCGATTGCCACCTGCCGATGCACCGGCCGCGATAACAGGCGTTTCCTCCTGAACACGACGTCTCGTCGCCGCTTCCTCGACCAAACAGCCCCCCAGTGTGCGCACGTCTTTCTCTCTCACCGTGGTTTTTTCTCCCTTTCTCTCCTCTCTCTCCCTCTTGTAATCGTGCGTTTTTCCGCGAGGCACGATTGCGTTATCCATCTCCTCCGAGAGGTCCTGCACGCCTCGCACCGGGGTGTGGAGTGCGCTCGCGACGCGACGCTCCTTCCAGAGAAAGAGAGAGGGGAGAGGGGGAGAGATGATCGCGATATTTTGTGCTCGTTAGCTGTGTGCATTAGCCGCAGTATTGCGGTACTTGGTGCCTTTTTCATTTTCTTCTTTTACACCGCGCTCAAGTACGAACGGCACTCGCGCGCGCGCGAGCACGCGACAATCGATGCCCGAAGATAGAGAAGCAATGCGGAAACGAAAAATGTTTCCGACGCGCGAGAAAACACGAGAGGTTCAAGGCTGAGGGTTATCTCACCGCGCGAGTATCGCAGAGCGAGGAAAAAAAATACGAAAGACGCGTGGAGTTGTTCAGTGAGGCAACGCGCGAGACGCGCAAGACAGAGAGCGAAGTAACGCGCGGCCGAGTCAACGTTGAGAAAAAAAACGAGAGAGAGGGAGAGAGAAATGAGTACGAGGAAACCGCGCGACATCACCGGGAGGGAAGCAACTGACGAGTCGATATTTCCGGCAGGCTTTTCCGAGATGACGGCGGCAGCGCGGCCTGCCAGCCGTCAGCGTTTAGCGTCGCGTAATTGGATTATTTCCTGTTTTCAGCGAGGTGCGCGCCTCGAATTTTGACGTATTGAATGCGAATACACGTATCGAACGTGCGGCTAGACAGTGTGGCACACGCATTTCGCTGATAGAACGAATAGAAACGCAACGCGTTCCCGAGTTGTGCATGTGTGTGTGTGTGTGTGTGTGCGCGCGCGCATATTTTCGACGGTCATCGGGCTCTCATTGTCTTTCGGTGCAAAAGCGAAAGGGAGGAAATCGCTGTTGTTCGACGGTCGAGCGCGGAAAGCGAGAGAGACAGGCAGTGAGCAGAGAGAGGGAGAGAGAGAGAGAGAGAGAGAGAAATGAGCGCGAATTTCACGCTATCGATCGCGCGGCGCCAGCCGTCGCATTCGTTAATTCGCCATTCAATCGCGAGTATTGACGCGACAAAAGATGCCAGGTTGCTGTACAAAGTAGTCACATCACTGCTGCTTTGTCGGTCGCACGCTCGTGAGTGGAAAAAATGGAATTTTCTTGTAACGAGGGAAAGAGAGTGAATGAGGGAACACAAGACTGCGCTTCACCGGCGGGAATGCGTTAGCGTGTTCCGCGTGGCCATCCCGTGTTTCGCGCAACGACGTTTCATCGCTCGGAGAAGCGCGCGCGCGTTACACTTCACATTCCGCGTACATCACGTAACCGGAAGCGTGGGCCATCCGGCCGTTTCCTCTTCGATCAGCCATCCGTCGGCTGGACAGCTCTTTGTCGCCGTTTGTGCGGAACGAAAGACGTATAAAAAGAGAAATGCGGGGACTCGCGCGATTGTTTGTTTGCTCAATTTAACAATGATGCGATTTCGCTGGTTGCCTTTGAAGAGGCGCAATTCTAGCATGAGAGTAAAGCGAACGAAACGTCGAGTCTCATAGGTTTCATCCTAGCTGCACATTCACAGAGATAGAGAGAGAGAGAGAGAGAGAGAGAGAGAGAGAGAGAGAGAGAGACACGCTCTGCGAGAAACGAACCGTCGAACCTGAAACTATGAAGGGAGGCGAGTAAGGGGACTCTCTGCTATTTCGGTGCTAAGCAATGGAAAGGAGATAAGCCGGCTAGAAATAGAAGGCCGAACGAAGCGACGTTAAACGCGCCACCCACGCGAGAATCCTTTCACACGAAGGAATCGTATCCGTTTTAGAGAAAGGAGAGATCTCGCGTTTACATCTTCTGCTTCTCTTGGTTTCTCTCTCTCTCTCTCTCTCTCTCTCTCACCCTTTGGTGCTTCGTTTGTCTTCCTTGAGCCGACTTTCATTGTACCTGAAATTTTCGCGAAAGCGTTTACAATGTAAATTACGCGACACCGCCAGACGATGCCGCCGCCGCACGGTGTTAAATTGTAAATTCCCCGCGCCTCTTGGCTCTCTCTCTCTCTCTCTCTCTCTCTCTTTCTTTCTCTCTTTCGCAGTGGCAGCCGCTGTCGCGGTTCGCGGAAGAGAGAAGGAAGGAGGGAGGGGGAGAGAGAGAGAGAGAGAGAGAGAGAGGGAGAAAGAGAGTGATCGTCGCTCCTACATCGCGAGAGCGCAGAGTTAAATTAAAATTTAATGAACCGTGGCATCTCCGAAGCCCTTTCATGTCGCGTCGGAGATCTCGCGTTGAGGATACGCCGTGTGCTTTTAATTACGTTAGCGGTATATACTCGCGGAGCAATCCCCGCTTGCTCTCTTAGGCTAAGTTCGCCCTGAGAACGTGCGTCGTCCAAGAACCCCCGTCCGTGTGTCGTTGACCCCGCATGCCAGATTCATCCTTGGAGAAGGATGCGTTCCGTTTACCCGGCTGCGGCCGGCAGTCAGACGACCGACACGACGCGACGCGATTAATTCCGGGCGTGCATCCCGGCGTGACGACGAATTCGCCGGCGACTGCATTCGTGATTTTCCTGGCTTTCCAGAAGGAACCAAGCGACAAGCAGAGGACATCGGCGAGCTCGACTTACAACACGTTCCCGGATGATCTCTATCTGGATGACCAGGACGCCTTAGAAGGCTCCGGCCGAGGCGGCGGCGACAATCGCGACGACCTCGAGGCTTCGGGTAGCGGCCTCGGTCCTGACGACGAGGACGGCGACGATGATCACGGTATGAGTTACCTCCTGAATAGAAATGTCACTTTTCCGGCTTGAATCGAAAGCTAGTAACTATTATGTTACAGGCTAACAACAAGGGGAGGCTAGGTCACCGTTTTTAATAAAATTTTAGGAGGTGATTCTACATCGAGAAAAAAGTGTACACGTGTCCGAGCGTTTTGTCCAATGTTCATCCTGGACCGGGAAATAAAATAAAATATTTGGGAAATCAAACTTTTGAAATAGAGTTGTTTACTTGATTTTCTTATAGTAACTTTGCAATTTAAGTATAATGAAGAATCATATAAATTTTTTTATTTTTTACGTGAAAGTCAAGAAAAACCTCTGAAAACCTGTTAAAAGATGTCGACTGTTCGGTTGATAATTTGTTTCGCATGTTGCAAGATTTAAGGACATGATAATCTACTCGTGGTTCGCATCGAAGCTCATTTCAAGAAGGAATGTTTTCAGCAACGTGAACCAAATATATTTCCCAGATAATTTGGAAAAAGGAAAATACGATTGTGGGAAACCCCCCTTCATAAATTGTGCTCACTGTAATTCTTCATTGTGCTTTGAATGCTTCTACATCATGTATCATCCTAAATGCTGCAAGATGTAGAAATAATATATTAGATTTAAATTTTGGGCAGACCAGTCAGAATACGTTTTTCGTTAGATTTCTCAAAGGTAAAAAAGGTTCTGACATAGAGGTACCTACGCATTAATCTTATATTCAGAAAGATACTAATTCAGCGTTATGGGGTGTTTTAAATAAAATATAAATGGTTCCTCATTATAAAAACGACGACTGCCAGACAAAATGTTCATTCTTTTTGTTCCATTTTAAGAAAAATCTCAAATCATGTAGAATAATAATGATATGATATGATTTTTTATTATATTTAAATTGCAAAGTTATTATAAGAAAATCAAGTAAATAACGCTATTTCAAAAACCAAATATTTTGTTTCCCGGTCCAGGATGAGCATTGGACAAAACGCTCGCACACGTGTACACTTTTTTTCGATATAGAATCACCTCCTAAAATTTTATTAAAAACGGTCACCCCCCCACATTGTAGCGTCCCTTTGTAAGTTAATTTATCTAGCTCATTTATTCACGGAATCTAGCTGACTATTCGCACGGAAATATTGAATCGGAAAATTATCGTGTTAATTCAATGAAACTCGTTTTTTCGTATATGAATCGACTATTGAAATTAGTCCATACGTCACGACGATTTTCACTTAACACACGCATGGCCTCTTTTAATGCTAATCATATATTAATCATATATTATTATTTTATTATTATTAATCATATATTACCGTCCACATATATATTTTCGATTGCGGATGACGATCTATATCCAATGACAATAACATTCCAAACGTTCAAAGGCGGAAAATTATAAAAGATGACGGGCACTTGTGTTCGCAGTCCATGCACCTTTTGACATATAAGAAAAAAAGGGGAACTTAAGATCGAAAGGGCGCATTTTTTGCTTTCGCTATAGACCACGTCTAGAATAGAACCTCGGGGGTAAGAAAATACACTCCCCGCGGAGCGTACCTAACGCGCATAGGTTTCGCGATAACCCTCGCTGACCCGAATTCTAACGCACATCTCGTAACCGTGTTGTATCGCAGAATTCAATGGTAACAATGGACTAGAAGTGCCGAGCAAGCCGACCGAGGCGAGACCGCCGTACCTCATCGACGAGACAAACACTAAAACTAAACAACAGGTAAGTGCAATGAGCGTCAACGTAAAGTTTCGGACTTTATGCTAAATCCACAATCCTGCTGTCACACGTCTATAATGGTCCCCTCCACGTTGTTTCAAGTTTGCATAATTTATGAAGAGGGAAAAAGGTGCTCCGCGCGTCTTTTACATACTTTACAAACGTGCTTTACCGGTAGCTCGCGGAAATGTAAAAGTTATTATCCAGCCACGTTTCGTTCAAGTGTAGAATGCATTCCAACTTCGCACAAACGAACGAATATTTCAATCGAATGCAGTTCGAATTTGTTTCTTGTTTGAACGGTGGCACACATCGGAGATTCACCGTTGGATTTCAAGTGAAAACATTCACCCGACGATACAAAGTAGCGGTAGAAGAGGCGAGTAGAAGAATCACTCGAGCTCGAGTGACACGGCTGTCGTTCTACTGTTCGAGTGAGATTCTCCTCCAAGAAATTTGCCGAGTAATAAAACTAACTCGACAGTTATATTTCATTTGGCAGGTTCTCGCGACAATACGTCACGGTACATCACCGCGCTATCGCGCCGTTTTACGATATTACGCTTTTATATTTTTCCTACGCACGAGCGCGTTATCTAATTCCGACCGATTAGAGTGGCGGAGCGACGCTTCGCACTTGGCACGGAACAACCCACTGCCGGTCGCGTCGTCATCGTCGTTGTTGCCGCCAAATCATCATCGTTTGTCCGCGTGGTGTCTCACATATACGCTCGTCCTCTCCTTTCCCCGACGCGCTCGAATTAAACGGATTAACGCGAGAGATTGAGGCAACCGTATCCAATTTCCAGACGACCATCGACGCGGTAAACCGACCCGGCAACGAAGTCGACGTAATCGAGCCCTCGGGTGCCGAAGACGATCACGACGACAACACCGACGACACCCGCGAAGTTTACATCATGAATCCGAAACACGAGGACCGCGCCAGCTCATTCTTCGCGCAGCCGGGCGTGCTAGCCGGTAAGTGGCGGGAACTCGTTGTTCAACTCGACGACTGTATCTTACACGTGAAAACGAGGCGACCACGACCTCGTGTCTCTTCGTCCGAGCAGAGAGATCATCTCTTCCCGTGGTCTCTCTGCTCGATGCAACCGTTAGGTTGGTGCGAAAGATTCGTCATTTGTCTATTGAATTTTCGCAGAAAGTTTCGCGCCTTGTGAGCGCGATGGAAAATCCCCGTTAAATGACGTCTACATAAGGGAAAGAAAGATAGAAAGAAGATTTTCTCTCCATGTTAAAAAAGATATCTAGTCAGTGTTGTTCTTTCGATTCATACAAATAATGATAATCCTTCGAAAAATCGGATAATTTTCTGACTTGCCCATCTTATTTGACAAACACGACAGAGCTTTTGCACCGAGTCGATAAACTTTCTTGTTCTTTCTTTTGAAACTACCTTTCGACGAATCGAACGACGAGTAATTCATGTTCCTCGTGTTATCTCCGACGATACCTAAGATACATTCTCAATCGTGTTTCCAGCTGTGATTGGCGGCGCAGTGGTGGGCCTTCTGTGCGCGATACTGGTGGTCATGTTTATCGTGTACCGGATGCGCAAGAAGGACGAGGGCTCGTACGCGTTGGACGAGCCTAGGAGATCACCGGCGGCGCAGGCTTTCCCTAAACCGGGCGCGCCTCATCACAATCGGGAATTCTACGCTTGAGATGGCAGCTCTCTCGCGATCGCACGATGCTAAGAGCCGAGTTAAGGCACCGTTCGACCACCACCGAATTGACACGCGCGCCACTGACCACGACGATGACTACAACTACGACGACGATTACAGCGACTGCTACGACAACCACGACGACCAACAATGCCTTGTTGGAATACCCGCTGCTGCTGGTCGACGGTGAAACGACACTTCGGAGCCCGCACATGGCATGCTCATATAGACTCTCCCCGACGCGAAGTTTACCGAGGAACGTCGCTCAGAACGTCGCTCGGCCGATTCTCGATTACATAGATACCTCTCGGTCTCCCACCTCCTGTCTCCCTGGTTGTCCTCTTCCTTCACCGACTCTTCTTTCTCTCAGCCTACGAATCGATTCGCTTGTCCTTGGCAGCTTGCTCGACCGTTGACATACCCCGAACCAGGGTCCTTTTTTGTAATCCCTCCCTCTCTTTCTCTTTCTTTTCCTCCCTCGCAGAGTAGACTTTTCACGACTCTCCCGAGAGCTTCCTATCGTTTATACTGCTGTTCGGCAGCCGCTCGGAACTACTTCGTGTTCGAGCAGCTCGACGACGATCATGATGATCACCAGAACGACGACGACGACGAAGACGACGAGGACAATGACGTTCGCGCGTACGCTTCTCGGCCGCATGAACTCTTCTTGACTTTCAGAAACTGTATTTTTCTTACGCGCTACTTGATCGCGTCGTAAAGGTGCACGCGAGAGTAAGAGTCTGAGGCAAGAACGAGTTCGCCTTCGGCCGAACGCCGAATGTATGAATGAATTTTGCAGCTCGATGCTCCGATTCGTCCCTCGCAATATTGTACAGACTGTGTCCTTTCTGTTCGCCCTAACTCGATACCGCATTTGCTGCTCCGTGGAGAATCCACGGGGCGTAATCGTCCCGACCGGTGACTGGGAAGCGACGGACAATGAACGACGAGGCGCTACCGCCGTTAGCCTCGTATATATCCATCCCGTCGAGGCACCGCCGGCGAGGTTGCACCAATTCCAAGATGCATTTACAACGCGTAATATATATATATATATATATATATATATATATATAATATAAATATATACACACATATATATGTATGTATGTGTACATACACAGCATATATACATATACATATATACATACATGGATATATATATATATGAATGTATATATGCACGTGTGTGTGTGGTGTGTGTGTGTGTGTGTGTGTGTGTGTGTGTGTGTTTGTTTGTTTGTGTGTGTATGTGTGTATGTACGTATGCATATATATGTATACGTGCATGTATAGAACTGAGAGCGTGAAAATTCGTGAGCGATAAACGCTGCTGCTGCTATGTCGTTAATCATTCTGTCTCGATGGAAGGAGGGAAGGAAGAAGGATCGTTGCGGCACCCGTGATTTCTCTCCAACAGCAACGAGTCGAGGAGTAGAACTGCAACTTCGTTCGCGTTGCTGTTGCTTCTACTTTTCCTCTCTGTCTATTTGTTGTTTTATTTCCTCTCTCCCTCTTTCTCTCTCTCTCTCTCTCTCTCTCACTCTCTCTCTCTCTCTCTCACTCCTCCCCTCTTCTCCCCTCTCTCTTAATTTACCTACCACTTCTTCACCTATTTATTCGATGTATGAGTGTTTAATACGACTCGTTGCTACGAAGACTTGGGATTTCAATGATTTCCTGAAGCATTCATGTTTCAATGAGAGCGAACAATGGCGGAATAAGACGCTCTCTTGTCAACCGTATCGATCGACCGTTAAGAAAGAATAAAAGGGCGCCTTTATTGAGATTATTTGTTAGGCATTAAACTATGTAGCGCGACCGTATCGACCACTATTAGTCGGACGAAGCAGGTTGAAAACAGAAGAAACAAGGAACAAGACAAGTATTTAGTCTCGATGTATTACCTCTCGATGAATATATGTCGTGCAAAATGCCTCAGCATAGAGAACGGAGAGATTTCAATCGGTCGATTGGTCGCCGGAACTGTACATATCGTTAAAAAGATAGCTATTAATTTCTAAAACATGTATGCGAGGTTTTATACGTACATACCTCCTCTCCGCGCATATGCGCAGCTTTCGCAATGTTGTTTTCCATTGTTGTACTTCTCTCCACTCAGAGAAACGTCGATTGACGGCGAGTTGTCGTATTTTTCTCAAAATACTCGCCCGTACATCTCGATTTTACTCTTTTCTCCTTACCTTTACATTTTTTTTCATACTTTTGTTTTTATTTATTTTTTGATTGATTTTATCGAGCTCATTGCCAGTGCCACATTAGCTTTTCCCCTGCGTGTCTCTCGCAACAAGAAATTGTGTATCCCTCATTTTAAGGATAAGACTCTCTCTCTCTCTCCCTCTCTCTCTCTCTCTCCCTCTCTCTCTCTCTCTCCCTCTCTCTCTCTCCCTCCCTCTCTCTCTCTCTCTCTCTCTCTCTCTCTCTCTCTCTCTCTCTCTCTCTCTCTCTCTCTCTCTCTCTCTCTCTCTCTCTCTCTCTCTCTCTCTCTCTCTCTCTCTCGATGTGTGATAATTGAAATACGCGCGCAAATTTATCCGTAACTTTGAAGACTGTTTCCGTCACTCCTCTTCTCCTATATAACATATAACCCGTTTAGGTCACATTTGTAAGAATCTCGTTTGATATTGTCTCACCAGAAATTATGTATAAAGTATTCCCCCTCTCTCCCAACCCGAAACCCTCTCGCGAGATAGTTGTGAATGTGATGTCTCACATCTTCGTCACACATTTAGCGAGTATAGGATTCTTATACTGTATGAATTGCCATGCATTTAGCAAAATAAAGCGAATTTACAATTAGTGTGCCATATATATTTTTGAACGCGAACTAACTAGCCGTTATACGTATGCGCGTCATCGACGATACCGCGACCAACGTTGCCACCTTCCAAGACCGCAATTCTGCCGCAATGAGAGAAAGAAAAAAAGAAAGCAGATAGAAATATAACGAATCTCGTGCAGACAGAGCGAGAGAGAGAGAGAGAGAGAGAAAGAGAGAACGCCCTCATTACTTACACACAAGGGTGGTATCGTATGTCACTTTGTTTTCTTCCTCCGATCTCGCCTCTAGAACAGGCTCGGACGAACGAACATGTGTTGCAACTCGCCAAAATCCAGTTCTGACGAATCGTGTCGTACAATAGCGACACGTCACAGACGCGCCCTCCTTCCACTACGGGATAAAGCATTTGTTTCTATTATCACGGCTAACTCTGATGTTTTAACAAAATCCTCGACAAGGATGATGACGACGACGACGACGACGACGACGACGACGACGACGACGACGACGACGACGACGATGACGACGACGACGACGACGTTTCTCCGCGTCTGATCTGTCGAAAGACTATGTCTTGATTTAGGGAAAAGAGAAAAAGAAAAATTAGAGTATATATAAATCCACGTCGCCATAACCATGGATGGACGTCGTCTGTCATCGAGGCGCATCCGTCGCGCGACAATTTCTCTTCCTCCGATGAAAAATAATTATATATAATTATATATAAATCTTGTGTCTTTACGGCAATATATAATCATACATAATTATATATGTTTGCACATGGAAAAAAAATGCTGTTACACAAGTACAAATAAAGCAACTACTTACATTGTCGCAGCTCATAATGTAAACGTTTAATACTCGGATGTGTGAAACTATTTCTTCTTTTCTTCATTCAACAGCGTTTTTTTTCATTTGGATGTATATAACTATATGTGATTATATATGTGATCACATAAAGCAAGATCTATATATATATATATATAAAGCAAGATTTATATATATATATATATATAAATTATGTATAATTATAAATAACTTACACATATAATTATATATAACTTTGTAGAATTATATATAATTCTTTTTTGCTCGGGTCTTTCCCTCCCTTTCTTTCTCTTTCTGCCTTTTTATCTCTCTTTGTCCGGCGGTGTTTCTTTGCCTTCGTTTGTCATTATTCCCTTCTTTCTATCTCGTCATTCGTATATTTATCTTCCGTAACCCCTGCGATTTTACACCCACCTCGAGGAGGCGTACATTGCCCATTAACGATACGAGTCGCGCGTCGTCTCTCTTGTAGCAACCCGATTTGCATTGCGGAAAATCGGACGCGTTGGAGTATATCGAAGTATATATCATGCCGATACTGCCATATAATAATTACGTAAGGAACAGCGATATGGTACGAGACTCTCTTACGCATCCGCCATATAATCTCACATTGTACATCATTTCCTAGTGCATCATGCTCTTTCTCTCCTTATCTTTTTCCCATCGTCATCATCGTCATCATCATCATCACCCCAGCGATCGTGTAGCTTTCTCTCAAGAGTGGGAACGTGAAAAGTGAAAAGTTTCGTGCGAAGCATTCCACATTTCTGTTGCTCGACAAATTGTATGATTGTAATTTGCTACTGTCGAATACGCGTGAAACTTCTCGCTTCTTATGTTTTTCTGGATTATCTTCGAACACAAAGTCACACGATCGCGAAGTTGCATGAACTCGCGACATTTCATCCGGACACCTTCTTTATTCGTCCAGTCGGTCCTGCCAGCTCTTCATGCCCGGAGAAACTCGACTCTGTCAGAGGACTGTACAATGCTACTGCGAGAAGTGCGTACGGAACTCCGTCCTGCGAACGCCTTGTTAATTTTGTTCGTTATTACCGAGTGTCATTATAACCGCAACGTGCGTCATGTCATGTTAATTCGAAGAGCACTTTTGTTGATTTTGAAAAAAACGCGCGTCATTCGCGGTGTCGTCTCGACGAAAGCACGCGGTCTCTATCTCTCCTTCCCCTTCTCTCGCATTCTCTCTCTCTCTCTCTCTCTCTCTCTCTCTCTCTCTGTCCATTTTTTTTTAGGGCATACCATGACATAATCTTATTTATTTTACTGAAGTGCCGACGCGCGTCATTCGCGTCTTCGAACGCATGGGAGTCGATTTTACGCAGAGTTATATGCGAATCTCGCGCAGCTTACGCGCTCATAAGAGACCCTTCTTCTTAGCGCGTCCAAATTTGAAATGGTACATAGGAATCAACTAATAAGAATATTAATGATAAGGACATTAGTAAACGATAGTTAGATCTAATGACGATTATGTGTGTGATCGAGGAAAAAAGAAACAAACAAACAAACAAATAAACGCCTGCATTCTCTTTGTCTTTGCTGGATTTTCCACGTCCTGTTTATCGAATCGACGAGACGTTCTTCTCCCTCGATCGGACCATCACTTTTCGCCAATTGTATGCGCATATATTATCGTTTGTCTCCTTCAACTCTAAAAAAGAAAAGAAGATGTTCGTCGGGAGAAACGGACGCGTCGTGCGCTTTCCGCGGCGAGTGAACGAATTCTTCACGTCGATTCGATTCTTTCAATATTATCACGGATTTCTCGTCAATTGTTCAACGTTTCGAAATCGCCGCATTTTGCAAGACACGTTTGTTACTAGATTCCCGCTATATTCTCTCTCTTTCTCTCCTTCTCTCTATTTGTTTCTATCGTCTCTTCTCTCTCTCTCTCTCTCCCTCCCTCCCTCTCTCTCTCTCTCTCCCTCCCTCCCTCTCTCTCTCTCTCTCTCTCTCTCTCTCTCTCTCTCTCTCTCTCTCTCGATTGTTCATTTCGTTCGTCCCATGCAAAGTGACAGAGGAACCTGAAAATTGGATCGTATTCTGTACTGTAATAATAATCATATATGACATAGAGATGAGAAGCATTGTCCGTTAGATAGTAATTAATCAGCCGCATGGCGTCACGCTCGCCGACTCGCGCGCCTCATCGTGCGGCTCATTAATGCACACACGAGAGATACACACTACGTTCTAAGAGTGAAGGGATGAGAAAAAGAAAAATAATAATTGTAATGAGATCATATTTTATAAGAAAAACGTATTCCGTAAGATCACTTATATAGCAATGAAGTCTGTCTAAATCGCTAGACAATGCCCATAGGCCACAGAGGGGTGAATGAAAATAATTTTAAAAGTGGATATAATTAATATTTAATAATAATGATATAATTAACAATGTTATTTTTTAAGTGTAAGTATCGTCATCCCAGAGGCCGCCATCCTCTCTCTCTTCTCCCTCTCCTCCTCTTCCTCTCCCTATTCCTTCGCCTCCTTTTCCTGTTCCTTATCCTCATCCTCGTCCTCTCTTGTCTATATATTGTTCCCTAACTGATCTACATATATTACATATATGTGTATATATCTCCGTCTACGCACGAACCCACAAAAAAATAAGTATATACATGTATATGTACTTATAAATAAATATAAATATAAATATATGTATATATATGTATATATATATAAATATATATATATATATATATGCATATACATATACATATATACATATATAGTGGCTCGCGATCGCGGTAAGACGGTGCGATTCGATTTCGTCGAGAAGTGTTCTCCTTATCGTTCCCTCTTGTCCCGAAGTTTAAAAGCAAGTCACCACACACTACTACGTATAATATATTAGTTTTATATACAATATATAAGTATATTGTATATATTATATATATTATAATATATATAAGAGAGTATCACACATACACACACGTGCGCGCGTATATGTGCGCACGAAGACGAGTCGAGATGAGACACCGCGAGATGTAGCTTTTAGCCGGACGCGGACAATCGAACGTCCCTGTTACCGTTGTTGCGAGCACCGAAGTAATACGTTACGATTAATTAACGGAAATTAATAATTGCACTACATTAGTATAATAACAAACAATAATGTATGTCGTCGCTCCTATTCTGTAAATAAAACATTGTACCATCTAAGGAAACGTATTGGGAACTTCTTATTGGGGACAAGACAAAAATCTTCTTTCTGTTTTAAATTCAACATATTTTACTTTTAATAATAATATTTATCAACAAACTTTTGATAATTCCACAGGTTTTCTTTGGGGATTTCATGGGCCCATGAAATTAGAGGTGCTTGAAAATCTGTGTAATCTGTTTAAAAATAAGGAAACAATTTTTTCGCACGCTTACGGTCGGGTTACTCGCGGGAGTTACATAAATAACACAGAGATAACGAGGGAAGATTATTATCTGGCTTTATTTGTATCAAATTTTACATGTGCAACATGATAGCGCCCTCAGATTACATCTCACCGTAGCATGTGTACACATACTCCAGCACCGGTAAATCATAAAACTGTAGATACAAAATTCGGAGACAGCCAACTCTGTTAAAGATACTGAATTAATTCTAACATCACAATAAACTCTAACGTCTCCCTTGACATATAATATACTTTATAAAACATTACGTTATCAAAAATATATTAGTCCTATTTTTTTCTTTGCTATATTGTGCATAGGGATGCGCGAAACGTTTTGCGTGTTTTTGTTTTCTCTTCATCGTAGAAAATTTTCACATGTGTATCCTGCGTTTAAATGACAATACAAAACGCCTCGCCGAGGAATGCGAGGGAATCACACATTGCGACGTGTAGCAATTTCATGGAAAATGTTTCATAGACAGTTTTATAGACGATGCGTAATACTAAGATCATTATAATGGTGTGTTGTGCGAGGATGACTGGAGTTACGCTGTAAAATTAACTGATAAATTTGTACGCACTTTGTCATCTTACTTCGGGTTTACGGTGTCAGTTAAAGTTATCATGAATGTTTACAAAATCGCGCAAAATACTGCAAGTCGTATACAAATGATTCTTCCCCGCGTTTTTAATAATATAGATTTTCGAATAAACAAGGAATGTCTCGAACTTTCCATTGTAGCTATCCACCGTATAAGTATACGTACAAGGAAAATTAATTATATATAACAAATTAATCCTGTTTCTACACACACACATATACATACACACACACACACACACACACACACATATACCTATTTTCGTACATATTTTCATAAGTAATTATATACGTTCACACAGATAAAAATACTATTAAATCAATACAGTTAGAGTTTTTGTTTGCTCACTTGCTGCACATATATGTTTACATATGTGATCATGTATAAAGATAAAAATCATACATGAGCTTATAATTATATAAAGTCTATTTATTTCTAGCGTGTGTTTATGTGTGTGTGTATTCGATTGTGCAACCATTATTTAACGATATAAACGCGATATTTATAGATTACTCTTAAGGAAAGGCTTGAGGTATTTATGGAAGGATTGGTTCACGCTTTCCTGATTCAATGGGCTCTTCATCGCCTCATCGAATAGACGCTCATATACATTGCCGTCGTACGCGCCGAGCGCAGATGCGAGAATCTCGTCGCGAATATCGAAACCATCGACAATGCCGACGACGTTTGGACGGATCGCGGCGAGCATCTCTTCGAAGCGCGTCTGTAATGCCGGTATATCTTTGGTATTCAGGCAGGAAAACTGCAACCACAGAGAGAAAGATATGTCATGAATTATTATTACATACAGACTATTATCATTCATATTAGCCAATATGCTCAATGATTAATGAATGAAATGATCAATCGCCTTAAACTTTCAGTATAAAGCAAATCGTCAAAATTATAAATATAGCGCCACTTACTCGTAGAAAGTCTCCGAGTCGCTGTAAGACCCAATATATCGAATACAGTTCGCACAACTGCATGAAAACCTGATGGCACTCTTTGGACAAGGACGTTAAATTCCTGGCGATCTCAACGAATCGCGTCATTATGAAAGCTCGGCAGTGAGATTCCGCACAGTGCGCTAGTTCGATGCTGGTTTGATTCCACGCATCCTCTGGCGACACACCGCTGCGTATTCTGCGATCCAAGTTCTCCGTTGCCAAGCGGATCTTCCTGTTGGTAGATTTTTCTTGTAAACCACTTTGTAAACCGTGAGATAACATATCCAATCAATTATTGAATACTTACCCGGCGGCGACCGCCTGATGAGCGGTCACGATGCATGTCAACGTGTTCTTCCAGGGTTGCTGCTTTGTTCTGCGCAAAAGGATACCCAGGTATTCTACGGTCGGCGGCAATCGTTGACCGCTGGCGGCCTGCCGCCAAACTTTCACTAGATACCGGGCGGTTTGCAACAGCAAGACCGTGTTTTCACCTTCGTAAGTGCAAGTGGCAGTCACGAATCCATAAGTTGCCGGCAAGTTGCTCGCGTCCATGTAACCATGGCCGCCGCATGCCAGTCGCAATTGCTCAATGCCAGTGGCCGCGTCCGACGACGCGACTGCCTTCAAGCAGCACGTTAGCGCGTGGAGCTGAAAAGAGAGGTTTGATAATGTAATTATTTCGTGACGAAAATCTTAATGCTCGTCATTTCGTGTCAGAACGCGTTATTTTATTTCCACGTATTCTCCAAGAATTTCAAGAGCGTGTATCTTTTCGCCTCTGACGTCATTAATCACCATAATCAGCGTAACATGTCATTTCCCAAGCCTGGGAATTTTCACACACCTCAGGAAGTCTTTCTAGCTCTCCTTGATCCAATTCGGCTGTTACGTTATTGTACATATCCCAGATCCAGTCGGCTGAAATCCGAAACGCGTAGCACGCGGCGAGATTGGGGAACAGTTTGTATTGTTGTGTAACGTAATCCATAATCTGCTGCTCCGGCTCGCTGAAATTAATCAATTAATGAAGACATTCGCCACGCAAGCGTATCGTAAATTTTTACGTTTTTGTCGACAATTTTACAATGAAACATTCATAGAGTCAGATAAACTGATTCGGATTCGGGTCGGTTATTATTATTCCCAACGCGTGCAATAGACGAAATGAAAATTTATTCCGCTGAAATCTCCAAACGTTGTATCGTGCAATTATATACAAATAAAACGAGTGTTTGAGTGGAAAATAATTACCGTAATTAGAATTCCGAATACTAATAAATATATGCCAAGAAAAAGTTATATAAAAGATAGTATGTAATTTGCTGCCACCGAAAGCAAATGAGAATTCAAGGTTATCCACTTTTTTCCCTTAATTTTATGTTAAAATACCTGTCGTACGTACTCAGGTTTTATTTGGCTCTGTCGCCTTACTGCGCTATATCTCACAGCTATCGTTACGGCCTTCGATAAATAGCTGGCGATGTCACGCACCAACACTACTCGAACAAACATCATCGTGCCGTATGTAAGTTTATCGCTGGACGCTTTTACGTACGTTCCATCCTCAAGCACCTAAGAAAGAGAGAGAGAGAGAGAGAGAGAGAGAGAGAGAGAAAATAATTAAAAGAAAAGGAGATAAATGTAGGAAAAACTTGTATGATTGCCCATAAAATTCCCCACCCTTCATCTCCTGAGCTCGATTCAACTGCGAATTCCGCATGTCGCTTTCTCCGTTACCTGAGAGTTTTTCATCAGCATGTTTTCCCGCGGAATTCTGACGTGGTCGAAGCCAAGAAAGCCGTTGTTGGTAGCGTTCATTCCTAGCTTGGTGCCAATTTCACCAATCTTAATACCTGAAAGTAAAAGCGAATCTCTTTTTATCATTATTCGCATCGTCGGGAATATAAATAACGCTCGTGCACCGACAGCAAATGCAAATTCGTATACCTGGTAAGGGCTCATGGGTATCTTCGTCCCTGAGCTGCACGATAAAGGGATGGATGCCCCTACATTCTCCTCTTGTGAACAACTGCGCCACAACTATCGCATAATTCGCCGTGTGACCCACTGAAAGTACACATTTCCTCCGTAAGCCGAGAGCAAGTTGAAAATCTGGATTGATCTTTGGTATACCAAATGACATGATATTTAAAATAGGACAAGTTTCATCCTATTTAAATACAAAATAAAATTTCAAATGTAATATAAAAATGGCTGAAGCATCAGCATTAATAATCAGCAACTAATGTTCTTACTTGCATTATTATTTATTTATATAAATCTCTGCTGTTGTTCAAGAAATCTCTAAGAGGAAACAAGGAGTCATGAAGCATAAACTTTTAAGAAAGAAATTCTTGAAAATTATAGTCGTCTTCAGCTTGAAATTTCTAAACTAAAGTTGAATTTAATTATTTAGTTAAAATATAATTTTTTTGATATTTATTTGAAATTGTTAAATTGCATTTATTTAAATTTTATTTACTTAGATGGAAAAAATTAGCGGATAGTTATTCTCGAGCGAAGTTTTGACAATAGAGTGAAAATTCTTTTGGTGGAATGTGAGATTAAAATTTGGTCCTACGGATTTCTCCTCTCTCCTCTCTTTCCGATGCTAAATCGAGCGTTAGTGTCAAATCAATCGAGAGAGAATACTCACAACCACCGGGCCACCATTTGTACGACGTTAAAGTGGGGCTGTTTAATACGAACTCTTTAGTCTCAGAATCATAAGTCGCTGTAGTCTCTAAGCCTCTGATAAACGTGCCGTGGCCTAGTTCCGTCTGAGAACATATGTACATATAAATATAGTTTATATACACATAGATATAGTTTAGACGTATCCAATATATGATTCGACCTACAGCAGAACCACTTATCGATGGACGTTTTATTCCAAGTGAATGGCCAGCATACCTGAGCGTAAGTACCGATGATATTACAACTCCAAGCCCGAGATATCCAGTAGCCTTGCTGTTCGGCGGTGCCTTGTCCCATAATAGCAGGTATGAACATCACGTAGTGTAACGTCAGTGGATTTCCGTCTTTCAATATTGCCGAGCCTAACATGCCTCCTAAAATTTGTCTACGAAGCGAACGCGATTCCGCCGATTAATCGCCTACGAAAGAATATCTTCTCTTCGGTTCTATTGAAAGAATGACTGAAAATGTTGTCGACATCTTCTGTCGTGCTTTCAGAACTAAACGACATAAATATTTTATTTTATACGAAGTGTCGTTCCGACGTTTTCGAAATGATTGTGACTTTGTAAGAGGCCGATCGAATATCTATAGCAAATGGTCGGACATCAAACTCAAAGCGGCAGGTACAGATTTAATCAATGAGAAGAATTAAGCGCCGAATAATGTTGTCGATATCTTACGAAAAAACCTCTATGCCGCCTTTTCCAGACTCCTGCAGTTCCTGAACCTTCTCGATCACTCTGCACCCTTTCATTACTGCATCCTCATAGATCTCCTTGTGGCTTTTGTACTTTGCTGGTATCTTGTCGCGCAGTATCGGGTCGCTAAGGAAGAAATTCTCTGCAAACAATTAATTCATAAGTTTGTGACACACACACACATACAAGTATACATATATATCGGCCATTTTCGCTATAGATAAATTCAATTGTAAAACGGTACGCGACGATATTGACGTGCCATTTCGCAAGGTGCAAAATTGTTGATAAAAAAATTCGAGTTTCTCTTAAATCGAGTAATGAAACCATCAAATAGCATCGTTGGACGTTGATGTTTTGAAATTCGATGAGCAGATTTTCGGCATCACGACTGACTCGAATAATTGATACGATTGCTGCCGTTATTTCCAACGTTGAAAAACGACTTCGTGATTACATTAACGAGAAATGTTTCCAAATAATTGCTCAGTCATCAATGCAGGCAATAATACAAAGCGATAAAAAAACGTTCGTAAAATCAAGTGCTACATACGAAAAATACGATACTCGATAAGCCTAATCTCGCACATTGGACATTGAACCAGTTGACGCGGTTATTTGCGCTAACGATAGATGACTTTGTCTTTTTTGTGTTTTCTCCTTTATTGTTATTTGTTTTGAAGTTATTATAGTTAGTAATGTCATGGCCGTTATCGTCACATTATCACAAATATATGCGAACACATTTGCAGCCGATTCGTAAATAAGCACTTTGTCGTCTTTCTGTCAGCTTATTGTCGCTCAATTACGTTGCAGTTTAATCGTGTGTCTATCTTAATTGACACGAGCGATGGTCCCGCGAGATGGCTTCTTTGATGAGTCAAAGCTGTCAGTCAGGCAGGTGACGAGCAATGCGTTAATGATCCGTATCAATTGAGCGGCGATACACCACCTGTTCGACTTTGCCTTGTTGTCACTGACGATGTGTACTCCCGCACGTAATGCACGTGAAAATTGCGAGATGTACCGAAGGGATAATAATTGTGTACTCGATAAATAAGAAAGGAGAAAATAACAGTTTGACGAATAGTTGTGTAAAGTGCCAACCACATTTGTAACAAATCGTGCACTCTTTGACGTAACGAAACGTCTTCTATACAGCGAATTATATTATCTCGAGAAAAATATTGATATGTTATATCTAACGATTATAACAGAAGCGATGTCAAAGCGAGCATAGACAATATATGCTCAAGAAAGTGGAAATATTTTATCGATGTTTTTGTTGAGTGACATGAGAATTTAATATCTGAGATATTTGCGGTATGAAGAAACGTCGGATATGGCTGGTGAAGAATTCAGAGTGGAGGATATTTACTCTGTTTTAGTGAAAAATCACTCGGATTAACGAATTCAATACTCGTCAGTAAAACTTTTCACTTTTCACGGATTCACATTGAGGAGAAAGATGTACAATCGGTACTCTCTGATTCTCATTCTGTAAGCTAAGCTCTTTCTCGTGTAATTATAAAACTGCATGAACGTCCGAGGCGGGCACGTTACCTGCTCACGTTTAATAAATATACAGTCTGCCAAAAGTTCCGGAACGGCTAATTATTTCAAAAAATAATGATTGTTTAAAACAATGTTTGAAATAAAAGTTGTCGGGCTTAAAAACGCTATCAGATATTGATAATTGTTTAACCTTGGAACGACCTTGAGAAACGTTGTCAAGGTCGATATAAAAATCTTAAATAGAAACTCCAATTTTTTATTACACCGTCTTTTTCCACCAATTCATTTGAACAACTTTTGTCTGAAACATTTTTTTATTTGCCTAATATTTTTTGAGATATTTAAGGATAAGTTGGTAACTTTTTTAATATTTAACTTACGATATCTCGCTAACGGTTTGTCGGGATAAAAAAATGGTACTAGACTTTTCTATTCTATTTGGTCTCATATATTGTTACAATAGCGCCCTGACTTTTGTTAATTTGATGATTTTGAAATTTCGAAAGATTGATAAATTAACAAAAAATAGAACATTATTGTACCAATATATTATTGAGATCAAATAGAATAGAAAAGTCTAGTACTATTTTTTTATCCCAACAATCAATTAGCGAGATATCATATGTTAAATATTGAAAAAGTTATCAAGTTATCCTTAAATATTTCAAAAAATATTACGCAAATAAAATGTTTCAGACAAAAGTTGTTCAAATGAATTGGTGGAAAAAGACGGTGTAATAAAAAATTAGAGTTTCCATTTAAGATTTTTATGTTAATCTTGATAACGTTTCTCAAGGTTATTCCAAGATCAAACAATTATCAATATCTGATAGCGTTTTTTAAGCCCGACAACTTTTGTTTCAAACATTGTTTTAAACTATCGTTATTTTTTTAAATAATTAGCCATTCCGGAAATTTTGGCAGACCCTGTATATTTCATGAGGTGAAATCTCGCAATTGGTGTCTTTAGAATCATTGATAAAATATCATAACATATCGAAACTACAGATGAGCGAACTATTCGAATTCAAATCGAATCGAATCTAACGTAATTCGATTCGATTCGAATCCGAATCCCTATGATTCGAATCCAAATAATTCGAATAGAAATCAAATACATTATCGTTTGCGTGCATCAGCTATAAAACGGGCCATCTGGGCTTGTGTGTTTGAACCCTTAACTTGTAATTAACTTAACTTATAATTAATAACTTAATTATAAATTACTTTATATTTATATTTATATTAATTATTATTACTTTAAATATTTAAATATATATTTTACTTTAAGGTGATATTACAATATTAATATTCCCTTTCATATTAAAATTTTCCATCATTATTTGCATGTTTAGTCATGTTAAATTTTTTAATGATTCGATTCGATTCGACATAAAAATTCTTGATTCGCACATCTCTAATCGAAACACTGATATCTCCAAGTTTTCTGCCTTCTTGTTATGACAAAATAAAAATGTTTATTTTAAATAGGATTTGCTGTCGGTATAAAATATTTATCTGATAGTTATGCAAGATAAGATTCTCCTGAAACTATTACGGCGCGTATTTACAATTACCAATGACCCACAAATATCTCGACGAGTCATCGACGAAAAAACATAATAATGACGGGTCATTTGGTGAAACGACATTTTTGCAGATAAAATTTCTTTTTTGTCATGTTGTTTTTCATTTCACATATATCGTTTACATAACGTAGTATACAAATGTATGTTTGTATATGTATGTGGCTGTGGATATATATATGTATGTATATTGCTATCGCTAGTTTCATACTTTAAATATATTTGAAACGATCAGTTTGTAATTAAATATAATAAACTCTCGCGTAGGTGATTACAATAATCGTTGCTTAGTCTTAGTCGTCAAAATGTGTTGCTGTTTATATATTAAACTTAATATATATTAAACTTTGAACTGTGACTTAAAAAGAAGAGAGACATAGAAACCGACGAGAGAGCTTTATGTAAGTCTCTTTGATCTATCGAACAGAGCGAATACTCGAGATGCACAATTACACAACAATATAACTGTTAACATAAAAAGATAATCGAATAATGAGGACAATAAATATCAAATTTTCTTTGTTCGACAGAAATGCAAATTATATTACATACCATGATTAATCTCGGTTTATGATCTATTTCAGAAACTTTATATAAATTTTTATATAAAATACAGAAAGAAATGTGTGACAAAGTCAATATTTCATTAAATTTTGCATGAAAGATATTAAAAAATTCATGTTTTTACACACAATTTAATAAACTTTGTTATTTCTTTATATATTATCTCTTAATTTCCGAAAGAAATATATATTTTCTTATATAGTTTGACAAAATATCTGCTTTGTTCTCTTTTATCATCATGTTTCGCTTCATTTTTCTCTTTGTAACTTAACACAGAGGATATATCGCTTGTTAAGCGGCTCTAACATGGGATATTATTCTCAGCGTACGCGCACACGCACACACGCACACACACACATTAAAGGAACAGGGGAGAACGCACGTTCCTTTGCCGCATCCGACCGGCCACAGAAGATTGAAAGAAAATACGCAATAACACAGCGCTTTCGCCTTTGCAGCTCCTGTCGCGAAGGGTACTCGAGAAGGCAGCAAAAAGGGTATAATTGTCTATTTACTGCGACGCGGTCAGTCTTTGAACTTCGGACCCGAAGCAGTTCCCTCAGCAAACCGATGCACTTCTTGCTACTTTAAACGACCATTTTCTTACCAGTATAAATGATTCACGCGCGCGCTGCGAATGGCGAATGCTGATACGTGTCTTTCAGTATATATTCATCCAGTATATATTCTGTGTGACTATTACATCAATAATGTACACGTCACAAGCAGACTTATTTATAAATATGTAATAAAAATTGCTGATCGCGATTTTCGCGTGTGCGTTTAGTGAAAAGAAGGTTGCAAAACGATGTTTGTCACAATGAATTTCAGTGACGTAGTCAGTAGCCGAGATAAATAAGATCATCCATCGTCTGAACTTTATTGCTCAGAAAACAACTTCTTCTGTCGAATATATTCCATATTAATCGCTCAACAAGAGATATATTTTCCTTGTTGAATTATAAGAAAAGAAATTATAGAAACATGACAAGAGAAAAGTAACGAAATCACAAAAAGAAAAACTGTTGCTTTCGGAGATTGATCGAGATAAAAGTAACGCAGTTACTTATCTATTCTATTCTCTTTTCTATTGATTGTGTATTTGAAGTTTGAGTGAAAATTTATTCGAAAATTAGCGTGCCAAAGAATTAAATATTCGTATACTGCAGATTAGAGAAGATGTACAATATGCAAGAATGATGAAAAAATCGCAATCGCGAATTGAAAGTCACTTTCTGGAATTTTTGCGCACATTTGCGAATGTACATTAACATACATCTTATGCATATCGACATATCTGCACTTGCAAACAATGCATACAATGTATAAGATGCGTATGCATACACAATTCGCATATTCTCCTCATTGGATATACGTGTGGCACGAAATATTTACATAGATATCTAAAATACAATCTGCCTATAGCCTGTAAATTTGTGGCGTATATTAATATTTATGTGCAATATTAAAATTAGCCGATCTATTCCTCACACACTAATTTTCCAATATATTGCTGTCGCCATAGCCATGTCCCGTCGATTTAATTCGATAAGAACTTCCTTGACGTTTTAACAATTTTCTCTCTTCTCTTTCTCATGTATAACACATTGTGTACTATGGAATGAGATATCTCTTTTTTTGCGGCTGATATCTAACTGATATTACGTTAATCAAATTTCGCAGAAACGGCTGATCTCGCTGCTCGTGTGAGAATGTAGCAACCGCCTGTAACCCACCGGAAATCACGCTCCGCAGCGTGGCTGGGATTTTATGTGAATTTCTTTCCTCCTCGATGAAACAAGTTGAATATATATTGCTAATGCCATACTATATATGTATATATACATACACACACACACACACACACACACACACACACACACACATATATATATATGATATATAATTACATATGAAATTACCACTTTCATTACGTTAGAAACAAGGCAAGATACGTACTTCACGAATTATACTTATTGTATCTTTGATAAATACAATCGTTCATCAATTAAATTTTCAAACAATTGACAAAAATCGACGCGGCGGTCAATGCGTTTAATAATTTTACGCGACACAGCAAAAGTAGATCATTATATATTAGTAGATTATTAGCAGTATAGCATAAGTAGATTATTATACACATAATAAAAAAAATATACATACGTATATATATATATATATAAAAGCAGAAGATACACATCTTTATATGTATATATATATATATATAAAAAGATGTGTATCTTCTGCTTTTTCCAAATATTTTCCATGTCATATATAACACTAGCAGCGTGAGAATCAAGCAAATCATACACACATACACACATATATATATATAATAATACATATATACACATACATACATACGCACCAACGACTGCTGCTCCTGCTATTTCTACAAAGAGTACATCTAATCGTCAATATGAAAACAATACGAACCTCGCTCGCGCCGCTCCAACGTCCTCTCCACGTTGCCATCCCAAAAGTGCGTAAGCTCCATAGGATCGAAACTGCATCTTTCACGCTCTCGTCGCAGGTCCGGGTTCATCGTCCCCATGTTGTCGTCAAAATTACGCGACTCAACTCGTCGTTTTGTGAAGAAGTGAGAACGCTTCGCGTTAACGCCACCTAGTACCCACCAATAATACCGCCAAAGACGAATCCACCGATATCTATGCACAATATGCGCACTTTACTGTGTCAGATGAACGCTCACGATCACTGACAAGAACACGACTGAACGATGTGGATTTGCTCCGCTCGTTTTCTCTCCCCCACCCTTTCTCTCTCTTTCACTCACTCATGCACACTCTGTGAAGCTCAGATGTATGTACACATACACATCCCCGTATATATGTGTGTATGTGAATGCTTTAAAAGAGTATGGGCAAGAGCACAGGCTTTTGCATAATACATAATGCATAAGAGAATAAACTAATTAGTTTTCTTCATTTCCCTCCTCAGGACAGAAATGAAGAACTCTGATTTGTTGTTGATTCTCTTACGCGTTGTGTATTATGCGTTATGCAGAAGTCTGTGCTCTGGCTCATAAGGCCATGGGTTCCGTGAAATATATATAAGAACTGTATTCGAGATATGTGCGACAATAGACCTGTTCGTTTTGTCGGCACTGCTGAACTGGTGCAACAAGTTGAAGTGAGAAAACCTACGTTTGTCTCACTTTAACTTATTGCACTAGTTCAGCAGTGCAGCTATAAAGAACAGACCCCGAGTCTATCCTGTCCGCCTCGTGCGTGCCAGTCGTTTATGCATTTGCGCGAATATAACTGGTAAGAGGATGATTAGGAGAATATCGTGCGTTTCACGGCGGACAGGAAAAAAATGAAGTAGCACTTCGAATATGTGAAATGTGCCTTTGATACACTCAACACTTACGACATCTCGTGCGCAAATGACGGAAGCTCTTCGAACCTGCTTGGAGTAGAAAGCGGCGAACCGGTTCCAATCGATTTACATGCATCTTCAACGTAACGTTTTCACGCTCGATTGTCTCATTCGCGGCGAATCTCCAAACAGGTACGACGCAACCAACCGAACAGGTTCACGCAACCAGCGTGAAATCTTTAGGAATGTACAAAATGTTTTATTTGCAGGAAAAATATAAAAAGGAATACAAACATTTTCACATGATTCTGATACGTCGACTGCCACGTCGATTTTCACACGAATTATTCGAAGAACTCAACTGAAGACTGTAAAAGCCATGGTGAATACATCAGCCGTCAGATATATGTGATTCGTCAGCTGATTTTTATTCATTTCCTACCGATCCTGTATTCAACTAGTCAAGTTCGATCAATTGTGCTCGACGCGTAAACCAACGAGATGCAGCAAAATCATAACGTTGATCACCGATGAATCTCACGGGCGGTCAGCATATTAAGAGCCTCTCATAGCTATTGTAATTTCGAATACGCAATGGAATTCCTCAGAATAACATCCTCTAAGGCGGATCTGATCTTGATGAACGCCTTCTTGAATTCTAAGCCGCAACCTTTCGACAAACGGAAATCGACCAGTATGTTTCCGTCCATGTCTATAAAGTTCACTTTAAAAACAAGTGTCATTTTCCGTCGATCTATCGTCGATATAGTAACCTACAAACATTATTAATTGTTGGTTGTAATATCATTATTAGTTATCGCTGATACATAGAAACTGATGCAAGTTTTTCACATGCAAAAGCTATTGCAAGTTTGTCGCGGTGGACAATATCACAACGCATCCCTGCTTACCGTTCCGCACTCGTTAACGCGACAAGAATAATTCTCCTTCGCGCAGATTCTCATTAACCTCTTTATGACATCCCCGCACTCCGTTTTAACGAAAAACCTGGTCATTCGGCGGACTAGTTTCTGAAGGGTATTTTGCTGCAAGACGAGTAAAGTATAGCGAGTTAATATGTGCGAAAAGAGACAACTTGGCAAAACACATATTAACATATATTAACATATATTAAACATATATATCCGATCAAGAACACGCTACCTGGCTTGGTTGCGTTTGCTGCATAGCTTGTAACTGCGTACACAACAAAAGATCCTCCACGTGTGCTGGCTGAGAAAACGAAAACGCCGGTCGCCCGTTTAAGTTAAACTGAATAACACTGTTACTTTCCATACCCGGCAATTCGGGTTGCGATAGACAAACATTTCTCAGATTTTCATCTTCCGTGTATGCTGGATTTCGTCCATCTGGCTCGTCCCCTGCAAATCGCAAATTATTTGCATAGGCATTCCTCAAACGTAGAAAACGCAACGAGATATCATCGGTCAGCTTTCGTGAAAATGATAACCGTTAAAGTTAGTCTACAGTTAATTATTCGCTACTGGTCTACGTAAGACTATCCACATATATTACACGCACACATATCTGGAAGTGTACGCCAATGCACTCTGCTTTGGTAATCTAGCTTTATGACGCTCGATTAAACTCATAGAGCTGTATTACCAAAGAAGAGGCAAGAGCCTCAACACCGATTAGGCGGAAGTGCGGCGTTGGTATTCGGTGCTATTCTCCGTTGCTAAAGTCGACGCGAAAGCACTTACACAGGAAGAGAAGCGACATGAACGGGCTGTTGTGTGCAGTATCCACTAAATTAGGTACCAAGTTGCTTTGAGTAATTACATTGATACTCAGAGTCACTCAGTACCTGACTAAGTAAACACTATGCTGTTTGGCGCCTCCATTGGCTAACGCGCTAAAGGTCTTTCGTGGGGATGTTTCAGCGCAAACGACAACAGACTATACGTCACCGCTAAATACGCAAGATGGTCGGTGGGATTATACTAAAGACACCGCTGCAAAATGCTCTATCCTTTACCTCTGTTGAAACTTGTGACAAACCACCTGTGTTGCTTGATGTCCGCGATCTTGTATCGCGCCGACGGCGAGTCCGCGAGAATATTTTTGATCAATGATAATGACGTATTATCCAGTTTCTTCCATGGTGTCAACGACATGTACTTCCCGTTTTTCCACGCAACGTATTCGGGACACTCTGCCGAGGCTTTGTCCCAAGGCAGTTCTAGATTTCAGATAGGGACCAGTTAGAAACTGAGGAATGCAAGCGAGACATTACATATTGCGTCAAGTTATCATTTGCGTTGCATAAATGGTCTATCCGTAGTGGTGTAGCCGTAATATTTAAGGTTTTGATTTAGTTTTATATATTTCGAGTGAAATTTACCTCCAGACAATAAAGCTACTAGGATAATTCCACAAGACCATATGTCTGCTGGTTCCGCCAAATATGTTCTTTCTAATATTTCTGGTGCAACATAAGGTAATGTTCCACATTTCTTTTCCAGGTGACGTTCTTTACCCTGCAGACGGTATATCGTAGCTAATCCAAAGTCGCTTATCTTTAAATTGTCATTACCATCTAGAAGCAAGTTCTCCGGCTTGAGATCTCTGTGCGCGACCCCTCGACCGTGTAGATACTCTACTCCAGAAATCAATTGCCTGAAATATTTTTGCGCTTGGTACCTTGGCATTCCAACATCGGGTTCTGTAAGAGGTGACTTTATTATCACACATCTCTTTGCAAACCTCTGTATAACTTCTGGATCTAACTGGATGACAATGTGAACAATTTTACAGTACATGCAGTCTTTGATAAGGGCTATTATTTTCTTTCTTTTTTCCTTTTCTTATTCTCTTACCGATCCTGTCGAACAGTTCTCCACCTAAAGCATACTCCAAAAATATGTATTCCATGTTAGCTTCGCTACGCTTTCCAAAATATTGTATAATATTAGGATTTGACAACATACGATGAATAGCAGTTTCCTTGCGTACTGAATACCTTGCATCTGGATGTTTCTCAATGTCGATCATTTTCATGGCGACTGCTTCACCAGTTGATCTGTTGATCACCAGCTTCACCCTACAAATATTTAAACTCGATTAATTATCTAGTTAATCGACAATTAATCTTTTATTTATTATAATTCACACATCCTTCGAAGAGATCCAATATATTATTCTGGAGAAAAAAACAAAATTTATAAACGATAAAAATTAATTTGTGTGTAACAGATTTAATTAATCTGTAATAAAATTTTATGCCGACGAGGATCAAGCACATCGGAAGTGTGTGTGCGTGTGCATGTGTGTGTGTGTGTGTGCGCGCGTATGTGCGTGTGTGTGTGTGTGTGTGTGCGTGTGTGTGTGTGTGTGTGTGTGTGTGTGTGCGCCGAGAACAATGGGAAATCTCGGTAGCAGCAGTAAATCAGCCGAAAACGCTTTGAAATAACGAGAGATCATCATCGCGTAACAAAGGAACATGCAAAAAACGTACTCGCCGTATGATCCTTCGCCGAGAGTATGGCCCAAGAACCAACCGTCCACGAATTCCGTCATCTCGGCATGCCTTTATATCTCGATGCAGGAGCAGCAATTTTCGGCGCTTTGTCACGCCACGACCTCTCAAAAACGAGCGACGAGCCACGCGAGGATGTGGAGGAAGGACTATCCGATCTGCGAGCTGTGGAAGTCGAGAGCACGCCGAGTCACGTCGATATACGATACGCGGAGCCCGGTTCACAACGGCCGGACAGGATTTCAAGCACGTGGTTACATAGCGGTGGGTTACATGGAGAGAGAGAGAACCGATCGCGCGAATTCAATTGGAGCCGGCCGCTCGGCGCGGGTTGTGTGAAAATGAGATACGCGGAAACCGCGTGTTACCTCACGATCCCGTGCGATCGCGTCCAACATGCGAGAGGCCAACGGACAGTCACATGTTAACAATGAAGACGAGCTGATGAAACGGCCGAAATCCTTGTGCGACACATTTCTTCTGGGAACCACGAAAATTCAAGCGGCCATAGACTCCGCGAGGAGAGAAGATGGGCGAGTGAGGCGCTAGTTAACATGTTGCACTCGGTGCTGCACTTTTTTGTTGCCAAGTCGACGAAGTAGCATGTTTCATTTAGAATTTACTTCAAGGAACGATAATATTCAAGGAGGAACATTCAAGCGAGAAAGAGAATGTCTTTTGTGAAATTAAATGATCGTTCGTTCCGTCGTCGAATAGTGTTAGCTCAGGAGAAAAGTGTGTCTAATACGCCATCGAGTTACACGATCTCGATTCTTCGTCGAAGATGACAATTGGTCTGTTCTTTGTAGCTGCACTATTGAACTGGTGCAATAAATTAAAGTGAGACAAATATAGGTTTTCTCATTCTAACTTATTGCACCAGTTCAGCAGTGCAGCTACAAAGAACAGACCATACGATTGGTTTTGAACGAACAAAACATCATGGGTCTAGTTGTAGCGGGTCATTTAGCCGAGACTCAAATCTCTTTGTTATGTGCGATTATCGTTAGGTAGTCCTTATTTCATTTCGACATGATGAACAATACCACCATCATATTTTCCAGTTTAAAAAGATCTTCGAAAAAGAATAGATTAGATTTCATTGCCATCAAGGTGCATTCTCCGATTATACTATCGGCAACTACTGTGTGTAATTCAGAAATACAACGACCTGTCATTGGCTGTTTTCATATGCAGTGTGGTACCGTACACCTCATGCAGATGACAGTGCATGTCGCATTTTGGATTTATTTCTAGCTAATGTAATTGGACGAGGGGCTCGATTCCTGACGGCGCGCGAATGAGATGCGTATGCGAAAATGTACAGTTCACGTTACATATAATATAGATTTTCGCATGCGCAGCTCATTCGCACGCCGTTACGAATCGAGCCCCAGGTGAAAATATAAAACTAATCGCGTTGAGAAATTTAAAAGAGAATATATAAACACATAATAAGTGTCTTGAAAATTCAGTTTTCCAACAATCGAAAAACTCGTGGTTTTGTCTTGACAATAACATTAATGTTTTAAATATCAGAACCGTCCCAAGTATTTTGCGTATCTCGAATTTGAAAATGGCGCCAATTAAACAACGAAACAAATCATTGGTCGACTCAAGTTCTTCGTACGAAAATGGATCAATAAGTACTCGCGTTAGAAACGAAGACGTAAGTTTTTCATAAAAATTTATTTTTATTTTTCAACGTTATCTCCTTTTAGAACGATACACTTTTCCCAACGTCCCTGCCATTTCTTTAAACTCTTCAAAAAAATACGATTTGTCAAACTCTTCAAAATAGACTTCTGTCTCGACGATGACCTTCTCGTTTGAGCTGAATTTTTTTCCCGCGAGCCACATTTTCATGTTGGGGAACAGAAAGAAATCGCAGGGAGCCAGGTCAGGCGAGTACGGTGGGTGTGGCAGCAATTCGTAGCGCAATTCATGCAATTTGGCCGCGACGATTCCGGATGAGTGAGCTGGTGCGTTGTCGTGGTGGAACAGCATTTTTTTTCTTTGCCAAATGGGGCCATGTCTTCTTCAATTTCTTGTCGAATCGATTCAATAATTCACTGTAATACTGCCCCGTGATTGTGCTTCCTTTCTCCAAAAAGTCCATGAGGACTTATTCCGTTCGAATTCCAAAAAATCGTAGCCATGACCTCTCCAGTCGATGGGACCGTCTTTGCCTTCTTCGGAGCAGATTCGCCCGGAAAAGTCCGTTGTTTTGACTGTTGCTTGGTTTCTGGCGTATAATGATAGATCCAGGTTTCACCAATGGTGACGACTCGACGCAAAGACTCCTGCGAATTTTGCTTAAAGAGGTCTAAACACTGCTTCGAAATTGACTGCCCTATCCGCTTGTTGTTCACCGTGAACAATCGCGGCACCCATCTAGCCGACAAATTTCTCATTCTTAACTTATCCTGTAAAATATTGATTGCCGTTCTATACGACACGCCTACGGCCTCTGCTACTTCGCGCACTTTCGTTCGGCGACCAGCGAGAATCATGTCGTGGACCTTCTCAACGATTTCCTCAGTAATCACGTCTGCCGGACGGCTTAGGCGCTCCTCATCAAAAATAGATGTACGGCCACATTTGAATTCGTTGAACCAATATCTCACGGTTGTTATAGATGGTAAAGAGTCTCCATAGATAGCATCCAACTTCGCTTTTATTTCTTCGCACGTTTTTCCATTCAAAAATAAAAAACGAATTACGGATCGATATTGCTCTTTTCCCATTCATATCAAAAAACACCAAATACGTTTAATATAAATGGCTGTCAAATCAAAACTAACTTATGAATCAGTCTGAAATTTTGTATGGAGTGTTTGAAGGATGGTGGTACGCGATGGTAATGCCAACTTCCCTCAGCAACGCTACCTATCTTCAAACACGGGTACTTATTGATTCACCCTCGTCACATTATACACAATAACGACACTCTCTAATTTCGCGTCTCCAGAAATGAATTGCACATGCGCAGCAGTGTTATTTAACCTTAAGTGTTAAATAGCGTTACAGACATCTTTTTCTATCTCACTTTCTCGCAGAAAAAATATACTATATGTCTTACTCTAACTTATTACACTTAGTTCAGCAGTGCAGCTAAAAAGTGCAGACCATTTTTCTGTTACAATCGTTAATTTCAATTTATGCTTTCTCTTTCTCTCTTTTCCTCTCTCTCTCTCTCTCTATACATATATTTATTTAAATTTTTATTAAATCATATAGGCCGGTATTCATAGTCAGGTCTTATATTTAAGATCGTCTTAAGTTTACTTTCAGATACTCCGTAGCCAATGAAAAATTTGTAGCATCTGAAGATGAACTTAAGACAGTCTTAAATATAAGATCCGACTATGAATACCGGCCAGAGTACAATTCATTAAATGTTTTAAACACCGTATAATAGCCTTTCTTTTAGCGTTCAAAACGTTTGTAGTCTCAAGTAGATCCTGCTTGTTATTGGTTAGGTAACAAGGTTGCGCATATGCAATTCATTTTTGGAGACGCTAACATCAAAAGTGCCAACAGAGAGTGTCGCTGTGTGTGTATACTGTACCCTCGTATATTCCAATCGCAGCGCTGCTCACAACCAGTTATGTTCAGTTATGGCGCGGGCTGCGGGATAATGTTTTGTGCCAGAAACCGTTGCCCATAAATTCTCGTAATTTTGATTCGCTATAGCTGAGTCTCACGTCTCAATCATCGCTAGCGGGAATGCTGAAAGTGAAATTCGCACGTGTGTCACAATGGAATGTTATTCAATAACTGTGCAGTGAGTCGTGGGAGTGCCGAGTAAAATTTCGTCCGTTCGCTACGTAACGGCATTTCGGGTTTCGTATCGCTGAGATTCGCGTTCTCGACTCACCGATTGAGTCGGAATCTGTGAATTATCGTTAGATATCAATAATCTAACACACGTGCCATATCATTGTATGTGCCATAGCATTGTTCAATATCTGCTAGAAGCAGTCACTGATCGTCGGGAGTGCCGAGTGAAGTTTCATAATCGTTTTTTGTCATGGCCGACTTTTCGGATCGTATGGTTTCAAATAAAACATCGTGATTGGTTAGTAATGATATGTGTTCATCGAGTTAGTGCACAAGTGAAAAGTGAATTGTGTAAATTAAGTGAATTAAGGTCCAGTTCCACAACTTGCTTTAAACTCCGTTTAAAGTGGAAAATGATTAAGTGTGAAAAAAGACTTCCTTAAGTTATTTATTTTCAAATGATCTGTAGCCAATAAAATAATCCGCGCAGCATCTAAAGATATATATAAGGAGGCCTCAAATATATAACTCCTGACTATGAATATGGGTAAATGAAACTGATTGCAACGTTTAGTGTTTGGTTTCAAGAAGCCGTTCGCGCATATTTTCCGCGATTTGGATTTGCCAAATGTGAGTTTCGCGCATGTATCGAATGTGGTGAGAAAGGCCTGTAATGTGTTGTGCAAAGTTAAATTTTGTGATCAGTTTGTATCACGAAGAAATATTACGAAGTGCCAAGAAGTTTCAAGAACCGTCAAGGGATAAGTTTATTTTACGTTTGTCGTATAAGAATTCGGAGTTTGCATCACGTTATCGCATTAATTAAAAATAGTATTTATGCCAAATTAAATATAAATATAAGACTTCTTGTTAATTTTCGAAAGTGTGTATTAGTTCAGTGATAAAAAACAAATCACAATACATTTTTTTTTTTATTAATCCATGTGTACAAGCTACAGTGAGTTGTCTGTAAAAACCACTGAAATATATACTAACTGGAACGAGCGTTGCCGTACGATCCTATTGTTTGCATGCGAATAGAGAGAGAGGTTCCCAGTTCTTCTCTTATCCTTGTCTCACCCACAGTGTCGTCAAGAGTGGGGATAATGAGGTACAGTCAATGAAGAAGTTAGTCGCTGAAAGTAAAGAGTGAAAGAAGTAAGAGTGAAAAAAAGAGCAAGAAATTATAAACGTTATAAAAAGATTGTAGATAGAAAATTAAAAAAAAATAGCATTTGCAACGTCAAACGAACCCTGTTCATATGATATGTATATAGGACCAATTTAGTTTTTGATTCGGACTGTACTAGATAAAGACACAGTGCTATTTTAGAGACCCAGTGACGCTCTTTTTCTCTACTCGCGCCTCAGGCCTAGCGCTCGTTCCAGTTAGTATATATTTCAGTGGTAAAAACTGGCCATCGATCACGTAACTTTTCCCCTAAAGTGAAAAGTGAAAAGTGAAAAATTTCTCGTGAAGTTACCCAGACAACACAAAATACTTCAAAATATCATGTGTATGTATTAAAAGACATTTAAAAAAAGATAGAACGTCATTTGGATGTTCTTAAAACATCTTTTTGTAATTTTATGTTGTTTAGCCGTGATCATACAACTAGGGGAAACATGGAAACGTAAACTTTTCACCAACTTTTCACGTAAACTTTTCGTCACTAAACTTGTTAGCGGAAAAGTGAAAATCTAGTGACACGACGAATACGGAATATAATATTATTACTACTGCATTGAAAATCAGAGGAAAATCGCGCGCGCATTAATTTTCCTGTCTTCGCACGAATTGCATTATATTAGTATTTTCATTAGTATTTATTAGTATTTATTATGGCTGCAGCATGGTGGCTATTTCAAGTTGCAAACGAAGAAGAAGAAAGAAGAAATTTAAAGACATAAAGGAGAATTTTACGCGATATATTTAATCCTTTTGAAATATTGGAGAGTCAATTTATTCTTTTATATCGGTAAGTAACTGCAGCAAATAATAAATTTAAATAAAACGTTACACATGTTATTGTAAATAATATTAAAAAATATATAAAAGTTTATAAAATATTAATGAATATGAATGTTTGTGGACCACCACTAATCTTTCACTTTTCACTCTAGGGGAAAAGTTACGTGATCGATACCCTGGTCTATTAGAACTGAAGCCCCTTGCACAATGCCAGGCAACAGGCAATAAGAATAAAAATAGACCAATCACAATAGATTATTCTTGTAATAGTCGATTGTGATTGGTCTATTTTTATTCTTATTGCTTGTTGCCTCGCATTGTGCAAGGGGCCTTACAACCAATTTCATCTTTGACTAACGCCACCTTTCGGCGTTATCATCAATTAGTTTACTCGCCAACCTCACACTACAATCGATCATACACCAGTATATGATTTCCACGTGCACTTCACTGCACTCGCATTTATCTTCCTTCTGCCCTCAAACCCCGATTGATTTAACCACGAGACGTCAGATGGCAATATAGTCGGCCGACTCGAGAGAGTTTTTTGACCGCGTCCCGCGCAATCGATAGTTTTTATCAGTTGTAGTCGTGGGTAGGTTGAGCCTTGCTTGAGTCCGGTTTTGTGAGGTTAGGGTTAGTGACTGGGTGACACTCGGCGGCGGCGGTGAGATTTTTCGTGCATATTGTGCGAGTGCGTTTTCGCTCACGAGAATACATATCGTACTCTCAGTGTATCTTTTCTCTCTCTCTCTCTCTCTCTCTTCCTATTTCCCTCATCACACATACATATACAGAACACATATACAGAAGACGAAAAGCTGACGGAGGAGATCATCGACGCGTCTCCTCGCGGTCGTTGTCGCTCTCGCGCGCGCGCAAGAGAAAGTGAGAAAAAGACAGAGAGCGGAGATCTTTGTTTATATCGTGTGCACGATATAACGGTTAGCATACGAGAGGGCACCGCGGCGGGTGGCATCCACCGTGCGTGTCTAAAAATAGCGACGGCGGCGGCGGCGGCGGTATCGGCGGTTCCAACGGCGCGCGTCGACGCGGATTCCGCCGTAGACGAGAAAGGACGACGAGTGTAGCGGGCGGACCAGCACCGACGGAATCCTGAGAACGGGACGCGTCGCTGACACGAGGTCGAGGCGCGTGACACGCCAACGTGTGCGGCGCCGTCGCCCCCGCGTCGCCGACGACTGGTTTCCTGGACCTTTCGCATCTTCCGCATTCAGCGACCTCGCCGGCGACGAATAATTTACAATGAATCCGAAACGCGCCTCCCGGCGACCGATGTGTCTGTCACCGCGAATCCCGCATTTCTCTGACAGTGGCCCCGTCGCCGTTTCTGATTGAACGATCCTGTAAACATCGTCGCGTCGACATCAATGTCAACGACGTCGTCGATATCGTCGTCGTGAGTCCGTGTTTCTGTTTGTGCAAGCTGGGTCAATCGCGAGGTCATCGTAAGGTCAGTACATTGTTTGCAAAGAGAGAGAAAGTGTATGTGTGTGTGTGTGTGTGTGTGTGTCTGCCTGCCTGCCTGCCTGCTGCTGTACCTGTATAATTATGCATTTATGTAATTATTATTTATATTTATTTATATTTATAATTCTATGATGGTTGTGTGTCCTCGTACGATATGATTTTCACTTCAATTTGAATAATTAAAATGTGATAATCTGGTTCGATGGGCATTGATTTCGTTATTGGAAAATGACCACCAGTGTTCACTCGTTCACTTTGATCAACAAAACTTTGATCACGATATTTAATTATTTCATCTTGATTTTGAGTGAATTGAATTCGTTGATCTCTTGGTAATAGTGATCTCGACTTTGATCTTGTCTTTATATGGATTAAAATCGTTTGATCTTAATAATTTTGACCGTAAATAACCTCTAATGAACTGCATTATCGCTTAATCTTGACATTAATTTCGTGAATTATTTTCCATACGACGGAGAGTGGCCGACCTCTCCCTCCTGTACCAGCGCGATCCCATTACATTTTGGCCAATCGCGTTCCTCTCATTTCCATGTTCACGAGAATAAATTCCGCCGCTAACGAATTCATTTCTCCTGCAGTACTGTTTCAGCTGAGCGAGCGAGTGCAATGCGTCGCATCTTCACGCCAGGCAAGCCGTGTCTTCTCGTAGCGTGACACTCCGCGAAGAGGCTGACGACTCGTCGTCGTCGTTATCATCGTCGGGTCGGCCAAGCGGCGCGAGATGACACCCGAGGACTTTTCGTCTCGTGTTCGACACGCGTCGTCGGCTACTGCGAGATAGAGTCGAGAGATAACCGCGAACGAAAAAAAGGCCGAAAAGCGCTATTTCCTCGCGAGCAAATCTTCCCGCGGGCACGGCACACAAAGAGAGAGAGAGAGAGAGAGAAAGTGAGAGAGAAGGCCTTTTTTCTCGGTGGTAAGATTGAAATTCGACCAGCGAGCGCGCAAATGAAGCGTAGAGCGCACCAGAGCAACAACGACGCGGGGCGACGACTGTTGGGGAGGATACCACTATCACCGGTGAGACCGTTCGTGCCGATGGCTGATTGCGAGCTCCAGATGTGAGAGGAAGAGAGAAAGAGAGAGAGAGAGAGAGAGAGAGAGAGAGGAATGATGTCGCAGACCGCGGATGCCGAAAGCGAGACAGGCTCTATTTGCGACGAGGAACGCGTCCGGAAGCTGTTCCAAGCATGCGACGGCGACGGCGATGGATACATCGATAGGTGAGTGAACTCCATTTGAACGAATTAATTAAATTGTTTGATCGTGGCTTTGAATTAATTGGATAATTGAATCTCGTTTGATCTCGTTTGATCATTTTTATCCCGACTTGGAATTAATTGAATTATTTGATCTTGATAATTTGAATTTTAACTTTGAATGAATCGGATTGTTTGATCTTGATAATATTGATCTGGACTTCGAGCGAATCAACAAATTGTTCTCGATCCAGGTGTCTTACTGCCCGTGTCTATTGAATTAATTAGTCGATTAAACCCGATTGAGTTTAAACTCTATTTGAATAAAAATTCAATTATATAAGTTCAGTTTTTCTGTCCGCGATTAGCGCTCATTATTTTTCGTCCGAAATTAGTCCACGTTCCACGGCGGCAGCAGTAAAATAACAGTACAGGAATAAATTCCACTCGCGGAAAATTCGGTGCTTCGCGCGGTTACACAATTAACGACTGATATCGCACGCACGGAATGTAAAGAATTCTTTATTTTCGTCGTTGACGAGCGCGCGCATACGGACGTGTTCGCTCGCTCGTCTACCCGCCGTCGGTCTGCACGTGCGTTTTAATTATTTCTTCAATTAATTAGAGCCGTCTCTCACGTGCGAGCGCTTTGCCCCCTCTCTTCTTCTCTCTCTTTTTTTGGAATACGTACCGCGAGCTGATTCTCGCGGGACTTAACGAGTGCGCGCGGCATATTTCTTTTTATTCGACGCGCCAACTCTTTGGCGAGTAAACTGTCGGAGATTCTAATAATAAAGTTCGTGATAATTTACGAAGAACACGAGAGAGAGAGAGAGAGAGAGAGAGAGAGAGAGAGAGAAAGAGAAAGAGAGAAAAAGAGTTTCCCGCAGACCGTACCCGCAAACTATGTACTGCAGCTTTATTTCCCTCCCTTATTTCGCTATCTAATATATGACACGCGCCTCTTCGATTTTTTTTTGCTTTTTTCATCCGCGAGAGCACCGTTTCATACATCTTGGTCTTGTGCGCGTTTTCTCTTTTCTTTTTTCAATAGTAATAACTATAAAGAAAATCACTCTCGTACAGTGAGAATTTATCGTAGTTATAAATACATCACGATTTCTCTCCCTTTCCCTCTCTCCCTCTCTTGTTCTCTCTCTCCTTTCTGAAGAATCAATTTTGCAAGAATATTTGCGAACTATATTGAACGATCGTGCGCGTTTCACGAAGTGGATAATTCGGTTTCGTGCGTACTCCGGTAGAGTTACGAAATACAGAAGTGCACGTCGTTTTCGCGACCGGCACTTAAATTAGATCTCATCGAGAAGCAGACAGAGCTGAATATAAAGAGAGAGCGAGAGAGAGAGAGAGAGAGAGAGAGAGAGAGAGAGAGAGAGAGAGAGAGAGAGAGAGAGAAAGAGGGGGGGAGGGGTAAAGAAAGAACGTTCTGTTTTTACCGCTTTATCCATTTTGTTCGTTGCCTGCGCCGTTTCCGCCGATATTATCGATGTCTCTCGATATACGGTATTACTTTATTTTTCTTTTCCGTCGCTGGTGGGACTGACGATACCTCGATATTGCCGCGTCGTCCCAGCGACCCCGTATACATATGTTCCTACGTGTATACGGTAGAGACTTACACTGCCTTTTATTTCTCGTCAATGAAGCTTAGGTGCACCTTTTATTGCGAGCTCGTCGAATGTTATGGTGTATCTTGCCTCTTCCGCCCACTGCGAGACTCGCATGCAGTTTCGCGCTGCCGTAGGTGGGCTATAAAATTACGTCTGCATGGTTTCTTTCTCCCTGTCTCTCTCTCTCTCTCTCTCTCTCTCTCTCTCTCTCTCTCTCTCTCTCTCTCTCTCTCTCTCTCTCTCTCTCTCTCTCTCTCTCTCTTTTTACTCTATTCTCTCCCTCTGTTTGTCTCTCGGTCCTATGTATTATAGATATATAATGTTTACACGAGCTCCATCCCACGCGTAGACGCGTAAAATACGTGAGCTACGTGGAAATTCGAGCGAGGCCTCGAGCACTGCTGCAACTTCTCTCTGCTCCCCCCCCTCTCTCTCTCTCTCTCTCTCTTACTCTCTTTTTAACCAGGCTCTTTCGTTCGGGTCGTTTAATTACTCGTTCTTTAATATCGCGAGCGGCTTTCGAAACCCAGTTTGAAAACAATCTCGGCACTAACGCACACGAAAGACGTGTATTATTCTCGATTTAATCCTCCAGCGTGAAGCTTTGTTCTCGTTTGTCTCATCAACTTCTAACTTCCTTTGAAACCTCTTTATCTCTTTTTTATTTTCGCCAAATGGAACATCTGTAAGAGAGCAAAAATATGAGAAACCACGAAAGTTATAGATAAAGAGAGAGCTGAAGCCTGAGAGAAAATCCAGTCACACTCGACTGACGATTTTTCTCGTCATCAACATAATTCGTTATCCGCATCTCCTCCTTTTTTCCCGAATCGCAAATCTGTCGGAAAGAAGAATCAAATTAAGACTACGACTTGATATTTCTTCTTTTTCCTCTTCTCTTCATCGTCGTTATCGTCGTCTCTCAATCGCGCGAACGGAGGTAACCATCGACTTTTACCACGGTTGACATTCGAAACGGTCTTCTTCGGGATTTTGAGGAGGAGAAAGGAGAAAAGGGAGAGATCACACTGTCACCGACATTTTAAACGTCGTTAACGAGTCGCAGGCCGATTGTTTCAATATAAATTCACCCCGCTTCGCGACCGCGTAACCGGGCGACGTCCGCGAGATTGGAGAACGGCAATGTGATTTATATAATCGCGACCGCTATTCCCCCGCGAAATAATAATTGCCTCTACGTCGTTAATTATCGCCCGGGGTTCGGTGGGATGGGTAGCGAGCGTCCGAGAGGGGGAGGAGCAGGAACGGGCAGGGAATAACATCGATTCGTTAACGAGCGATAATTTATCGTGCGGCGAATGCATCGCGGTGTTTTATAGCGATCAACGCGGCTCGCTCCCGAGAGCGACTTCTCGTACGTTTATTCTTCGTGCTTTTTCTCCTCTCGTTTCTTTCCTTTCTTCTCATTTTACCTTTTATTCCTGCGGACCACATGTGATACGTTCGAGGGAAGGAGGGAAAGAGAGAGAGAGAGAGAGAGAGAGAGAGAGAGAGAGAGAGAGAGAGAGAGAGAGAGAGGTACTGCGCACAAGGCGCACCTAGTCAGTGTATAAATGCGTTTTTAAGTGAGATTCGCTGAGCTATAAGAAGGTCAGGACGAGGGAACGACGAGACGGACGAGGGTGGGGAGGGGGGGAGAGGTAGAGGAGGACGAGAAGGAAGAGCAAGAGCTCGCGTTCTACAAACAAATTAAGAGAGTAAACCCGGCAGCCACTGGCACCGGCGAACAGAAGAGAAAGACGAAACAATATTCCCCGACTCGTTGGCATTCATTACGGCACGCTTTCGTAACCTCGTTACCTTCGCTCGCCTCCAGGACTACCGATGCACATTTTTGACCCCTTACGTGACACGCAAAGTCTCACCGGCCTTCTTTGCTTGTATGCACGCGACGGTATTATAGGGTGTTCGCGATTTCGGCTCCGACGAATTCCGTCACAGGAAGTGTCTCCGTAATTAAAAGTGTAAATTCTAATCGAGATACGATGAGCGGAGAAGCGAACTCCGAAACGAAATCCAGACGGAAAGAGAAACAAAAGAGATGGGATACGGAGGCGTCCGATGTTCGTTTAAGAATTGATCCTTGCAGATTTGTCTTCAATTAGACTCGTAGGAGTTAAGAGAGTCGACATAAAATCAAGCGAGGAGCAATCGCGGTACGTGAAGTTTCTCTCGTGAAAAGCAAACCTTACTGGGAGAGAGACGAAACACGGCGAAGTGTTGTCGTTCGCTTAACAGTCGGATTTCACAAGTTTATCTCCAATTGTAAACGTACAAAGTCGACATCGGAATACAATCGTTGTGTGTACGGAAATCTCTTGCTCTTTCTCTTAGCAACGAGATAATCGGATGCGTTACCTCCGTTGCTTCAGCACTATAATTTCCCTACTTTCCAAGCTCGTGCTTCCTGAAGCCAATGACCCAATTTTCCGGGACAGGCTTGGCATTTCACGCGCGGCGACGTCCGAAAAGTTCTCCAAGAGGCGCGCATGCTGTTCTCCTGGTCTTGCGAAAAAGCACGAGAGAGAATGTGTGTTTCTCGACATGAATAGACAAGAGGCAAGCGGAGGGGTGGTAGAAGTAGTATGATATAGTAGTAGTGATGGTAGTGGTGGTAGTAGTAGTAGTAGTAGTAGTAGTAGTAGTAGTAGTAGTCACGAGTGCGCGGGAGATGCTAGGAAGGGTCGATTCCGCCGTCGATGCAAACCCTCGACGATACCCCGAGGGTTGGCCCGAAGGCACGCGGAGGGTGGCGGTACGACGCTGCTGCCGCGTTTTATGGCAAGTGAGTCACACCACCGCGATCAGGTTCTTTTCGTTTCTCTCTCTCTCTCTCTCTCTCTCTCCTCCCCTCTCGTTTTGGTTATACGACTGCTCCTCCGACGCGCGCGCGTAGCCAGACCGAGACTTTGCAGACTCGTTTATCGGCATTTCTCTCCCTCTACCTTCGTCTACCGTTCCCCTTGCCCCCTTTATTCTCTCTATCTCCGTTTTCCCCCGCGGCTGACTTTCTCCTACCACGTAAAATACAGTCGGTTCGAAACGGCCTGTGCACCCTTCATCCCATCTCTGCCGCCGCCGCCGCCATCGCCACCGTTGCTGCTGCTGCTGTTGCTGCTGCTGCTGCTGTTGTTGCAACAGCAATAATGCAACAGATTTCCGTGAACGAAAGCGTGCGTCGTAAACGTAAAATTTCGGTCGTCGATGCGCCGGGAGAAGTACGCGGTTGGAATAAAGGAACGAGCGCGATCGCCGCTTAATCTCGGTATCCTGTGGGTTCTCCTATGCTCTCTCTCCCGTCTTTCCCTTTCTTTCTCGGATGGATCGTGCGCTCCGCACCGCCGTTCAACATCGGGATCTCAGCGCGAGCGA